CCTGAGCGTGCCAAAATGGGAGCGTACCTGGAGGTATCGCCGACAAGAGGACGTCGCCGATAATTTAAATATCGCGCGCGGGGGCACAGGACCCGCGGCGCTACGCACCTCACGCGATTCGCGGAGGTCACGAGCTCGCACGCCCGCCAATTAAGGGCACGGAAGGATGTACCACGTGGGCCCACCGGCCCGGCGAGATCACGGAAGCAGCGGCACTCGGCACTTGTGCTGTGGGTGCGATAGTGGAAGGACGCAGGACGAAATACGATCTTGAGAGATATTCGGCCGAAAGTCAGCAGTAGTCGAAGCGAGCTGCCGTTCCCGTGACGAGGAGTTCGCGGTGAGACGAGCGCATTTGTGTAAAGCCGCCGATTTTTCTTGTGTCAGACGGGCCGCAAGGAACCCACGTTCCTAGCTGTCGTTTTCGTTTTGTGATTCGGCTGTAGCCGATAAAGATTCCATAAGTTTTAGCGCCCCGTCTGACCTCGCGTATCGAGATTTTCTTTGTACAGGACTGTCGCGCTACGCGCTCGCCGAGCGCCACAGCCAGTTAATGTATTGTGTCGTTTCCGTTATTGTGCGTGTGTGATAATTCGCGTTGCCGAAAAGGCCTTACGCCACTGGTACGAGATTTCAGAGAGTTTCCGGGATCACGGGATCCCGCGGGACGTATTCGTCCCCTAGTTTCGATTCCGCTTGTGTCGATCACGCTTGCCCGTGTACGCCGAACGCTCAGCGCCGGCGCACTAGCGAAGATCACGCCCGCACTGCATGATTTCCGATTTCGCATGTTACGCGGATGCGAGGGGCATGTAATTAGCGAGTCGTACCGCCGAAGGGAAACCGCTCTTAATTTTCCGTTTTTCCGAGATACGATCCCGCCTTACGATCGTGAAGTACGCGAATTGCGAGTCTCTGTCAATCTTGTGCACGTTGCATTACTGCGCGTCTCGAGTGTTCCCGTCTCTTATCGTATATCACTCGTCTTTCAACTGTAATATTCGTCCGTAAAATACAATTGTTATTTTCATTGTTAATAATCACTGTTATTTCTTTTAGCCTATTCTCGCTCCCCGAATCTTGACCGTTTTCCCCTCGAGCCACCCCCCTCTACCATTACCGTAGCTGAAAGGCCGGTTATCGCCGTCCTTGTCCGACCGTCGTACCGAATCCGCGTCTAAGTGCGCGCTTGTAGATTTCTTCCCGAGTCATTGTATTTTCAACTAACGAAATTTCCGATCAGAGAGACACTCTATAACGTGCATGGCGCCCAATTCTTGTTCTCGTTTTCGATAGGCGAGATGCCTGAGTAATGATTAATCGCGCGCTAGATTCAGTTTTACTGTTTTCGCGGAATTAAGCGTGTCGGACGAGCGACGAAGTTGCACCACGATCGTGAGTGTGGTCGCAATACATAATAAAAAATGTCTGTGCAAACAAACAAACATAGACCTTTGATGCCTGCAGAGAGAAATATAATAGTCCACGGCGAATGGTTAACGGATATTCATATGGAAAACTTTCATTATCTTTTACGTAATTGTTCAGA